CTTTGCCAGCCCACAGGTCCCCACTCCTCTAGAAGGGAAAAGTAAATGTTGCAGCTTCCTTGCAATGTCCTCTCCCCAACTACAGCAACTCAGATTTTGAGTGTCCAAACAACTCTCTTAGGAAATTGCGGGGAGTAGGGATGAGGGTGAAGGGGAGAGTGCCAAGATAGAGAGGGATGGCTGAGACTTCACCTACCCCTCGGCGCCCCGGGGCCCTCTAGTGGCCACAAGGGGAATGGGTGGGGTAGGAATGGAGGAGACAAGGCGGACAAGCTGGAAGTGACCCCCCAAGTACGACAGCAAGAAGATGAGGAGAGGCCTAATATCCAAGATTCCTGGCGGACTATGTCGGATATAGGACCCTCAATGGCGTGTGAGAGGCAAGTGAAGGAGAGGGGTCACAGCAAAGGAGTGGGAGGTACGCAATTAACCTGATATCATAGCAGTGATCTTGGGAGGGTCCCACGTTTTCCCAGCAACACGGAGAGGCAAGAGGCTGGCAGAAAGGTGGCTGTGGGGGCCAGCCCGTGGCTCACTTGGGAGAGTGCGGTGCTGATAACTCCAAGGCCATGGGGTTCGGATACCATATAGGGGTGGCTGGTTAGCTCACTGGTTGAGCGTGGTGCTGACAACACCAAGTCAAGGGTTAAGATCCCCTTACCGGTCATCTTTAAAAAGAAAAAAAGAAAAAGAAAGAAAGGTGGCTGTGGCAATCGTTTCACTGGTGGTGCCAGAGCGCAGACCCCCAAGGGCATATTTGCGTCCTATTTGCCAATGAGCTCTTTCCCCCTCAATAGACATAAGTCCCGCCCCTTTCCTCAGTTACCCTGACTCCAGAATCTCCTCTGGCCTCGGATCGCACCCATTCCTCCAGCCATTCTCTGGCCTCTCAGACCTCTACCCCTCAATATTTTCCATCATTCACCCTCGGCCGTTTACCTACCCCCGCTTCAAAGCAGCGACCCTAACTCCTAGCTGGCTGGGTTCGAGGAGCCGCGAGATCTGCGCCTCCTGGTGGCTGGTTGGAGGGAAGCTGAGAGCAGAGGGGTACTGTTTCGCCTACTCTGGGACGTGGAGTTTTGGAAAATGTTCCCCGGGGCTTCCTGAAGCTAAATTTACCTTCCCCGGCCCTGGGGGGCGCAGAGATCCCGGCGGCGATTAGCTCTGCGCGGCAGCCAACTCCAGCCGAGAGGCCCGGAGTAGGCGCGGAGTTATAAATAGTACCACCCGCAGGTGTGGGGGGAGTCGGCGGGAGGGGGTACCCCTGGCAGCCACGGCCCCTTCAGGTGGGTTGGGCGGTCGCGGTGGGGGCCCTGGGGGGCGGCGGGCGGGGGGGCTGCGGTCTGAGCGCCCCCAGCGGTTTCCTGGGCGGCGGGTTTTTCGAGGGAAGCGGAGGCAGCCGGGTTGGGGGGAGGGAGCTGGAAAGAGGTGG